CCACCTCCGAGTCCATTGAGGAGATTACCAAATTCTATTTCTATTTGATCAATCGGTAAGCGCATTAACTCTCAGTTGCATCAATTTATAATCTCATCCCATCCGATCTTATTTCTGGTCTTAGGCCCATTTTGGTGCTGAAGTGCGAGCAAGGTTTTGTTGGATATCGCACGCCCGGCAATTTAAAGCTGGAGTGCAACAAGGCCACCTATGAGACCATCTTGGTCGAACGTGCACAGAAGGGCATGGTTCATTTGAAGGCGCACAGCGGCAAATACTGGCGCATTGAGGGCGAGAGCATTTCGGTGGACGCTGATTCGCCCACTGATGGCTTCTTTTTGGAGTTGCGTGAGCCAACACGAATTTGCATAAGGTAAATCACAATCTTACAATTCCCAACAGCACAGAAGCTTAGATTTTAGAATCAGTTGGCAGACAAATCCACTTTTATGGCTCAATCAGATCTGTAAGTGGTTTCCAATTGGAATTATTCAAAGGGATTTAGCGGCAACACACTTAACATCGCCTGTGCAGTAAAGGAAACAATAACAGTCAGCTGTTAGCGTTGCAACCTGTGCTTAACAGCATGCTGTTAACGTTGCATCCTGCACTTAACACCTTGCTGTTAGTGTTAAAACCTGCACTTAACAGCTTTCTGTTAGCATTGTAACCTGCGCATAACAGCTTGCTGTTAGTTCACAGCTAGTTGCTACTAACATACCTACCTACTCTTACACGTACAGACTGTTATTGCCGATCATTGGAAAACTGTTAACGGCTTTGTGATTCAAACCATATAGACCATTTAGAACGATTTGATGTTGACATTTCGTTTCTTTTCAGATCGGAACAGGGCAAATATTTGGGTGCCACCAAAAATGGGGCTTTTAAATTGCTAGATGACGGCACCGATTCCGCCACACAATGGGAGTTTTAGATTGCAGTGGCAGATGCAGATGCAACAGCACGTGTTTGGCAATGGCAACAATATTTCTAATCTAACAGCAACAGCATCAGCAACAACAACAAAAACAACAACAACAACACGTATCAATTTTTAGAGTTTTAGCAAGGTGTCGACTAAGTCCAAAACAAAAATAAATCCAGGAATTTTTGAACGCAAAATAATCAAATAAAGTGAAAACAAAATAAGAGTCAAAATAAACAATAAAAAAGTCGCACAAAAATATATCCTACATGCGAACTCTTGAGGATAGGAGGCATGTTTATGCATCAATATACATATATACATATAAATGTATATATTTATATATATATATATATATATATATATATATATATATATATATATATATATATATATATATATATATATATATATATATATATAGAAGATTTTTTTAAAAACAAACCTATTTAGCTTTTTATACGTTTATACAAGAACAACAAACAAGTCTAGCATTGACAAACAGCAGGAAGGAAGTGAAAACACCTTTTCTCGCAAGTCCTTCCGTTTTTTCAATATCAGCAACAAGCAAAAAAAATATACATATATATATATATATATATATAAATATATAAATATATATGTATAAATATATAAACATATATTTATTCGATTTGTAATGCTTTTTTAAAACAAAAAAGGGCCGCTTAACTTAAGAAGAGCAAAAAAAAAAAAATTAAACGAAAAAACTTAAAAAAAAAAAAACAAAAAAAGTTGCTTAAAAACCAACACATATTCCTATAAATTTATTTATATATTTATACATATTGAGATATGAACAATAACAATAACAATACACACGCACACCTACACAGATACACACAAGTACACGCACGCATACACACACACACACACACACGCACACACACACACACACACACACACACACACACACACACACACACACAAACAAAATACACAAATACACACACACATACGCATTCACGCAATTTTATTATATGCAAAACTTAGTTTTAAGCGCAATAATATAATAAAAAATTAACAAAAAAAAGAAAAAAAAACTTTGATACCCGCAAAATCCAGCAATATCCGATTTTTAAGCTAACCTACATAACATTATGAAAAGCATAGACGTATGTCACTTGTCAATTTTTGTTACATATTTATTCTTATTATTACATAATTTTATAATACTTTTGTTTTTTTTTCTCTTGCACATTTTCTTATCTTTATATAAATGGTTTTTTTTTTGTTTAATTGAATCAATTTGTCACTCGAAGTAAAAAATCTGTCAACTTAGTCGCTTAAACTGAAAAGGAATAAAATAAAAAGAAACGGAAATTATGTATAATAAATGATATAATATGAAATATATATATAACATACCTAAAAACATATCGACTATATGTTTTCATTTGGAGTTTTGTATCAACTATTTGCTTTCAGCTTTGTTCTCTTTGAAAAGCTTAGTCTTTTCTGCGTCCTTTTTACTGTCCACATAAAATGGCGGAAATGCATGTGCATAGACACAAACAAGGAGCGACTGAGTGAAAGCAAAAACAATGGTTCGCAGTACGATCGAATAAACTTTTTATTTCTTATATCTGCCATCTCGCTCCATCGAAGAGGCTTTTGGGATTCGGATGGCATGCTCGCTGAGCAGCCGAGCAAATACGAAGTTTGAGTGGGACAAATATAAGTATGTAACTGTTGCGCACATGCACAAGTACATACGTAAAGCTTTCTTCGTTGTATAAAAAGTTGCCACTGTAGCCAAATGCAAAAAGTTTATTATCCCAGCAAAAATTAAAGTCCAATTTGTTTCAGATTTTAAATGTATGTATACATATACACATGCGCATATATATATATAAATATATATATACATATATTATGTGTATGTGTATGTGTATGTGTTGTAGGTATATTTGCATCGTTCCATTACAATTACATTAAACTTACAATTTCTGTTTTTTCTTTGCTTACATTATATTTTAATATGCCAAGTTTATGTGGGTGTTTATAAATATATATATATATTTGTGTCTATGTGAGTGTATGTGTACACACACTCATAAGACAGTACAGGACTTGTCCAATTTGCTACCTTTAAAAGCGTCACATTCTTTAATATAAGACAAAATTAATCTTTTTAAATATATATATATATATATATATAAAGAACATAATTATATATATATATATATATATATATATATATATATATATAGCATGAGTTCATGTGCACACATGCACATACTTACATATGTGTACGTACATTGTTTTCATTCTGTTTTGAATACAATTCGTCTGCACAGTGTCTGCATATGAGAATAAGAATAATGTACGTTCATACACATATCGATACTTACATACAAATGCATGTATTTCTATGTGACCCGCCCACCCCCCAGATCCAACAGCTCATCATCTTCCCTTTTCACAATTCGCATAATTAAAATACAAATACTACTACATACATAGATTTTGGTTTACCAAGACTTTTTTACTTTATCAATTGTCAAGGTGCTAAATTAGTGTTGTTTTCAGTTTCTTTTTTCTTTACAGTTTTAGCTTTTATTTGTGTAATCGATCAAACTTTATTATTTATCTCACTTAATTGCACGTTATAATAATCATATTAAATCCTATTCATAATGTGGATTTCTCATTTATAACTTAGTTGCATTCTTAATGTTTGTTTTTTGTTGTTTTTTTTTTCTTTCTGTCTTGTCTTGTTTTCATTTTCTCTTTCTTTGTTGCGTTGTTCTCTCTGCTTTTGATTGTTTTTATCAATTATCTAACATTTGTTAATGTCTTTGTAAAGAACATAATTTGAAACCTGGCTATTTGTGTGTGTGTGCTGCTGGTCGTTTTAAATGTGAAAATGAATGAAAAACAAACACAAAAATAAAATTTTCCTTTTTTTAACATTTTGTTGTTGTGGTTGCAGTTTTTGTACAAAGCAAAATAGTTTTGGATAATTAGCATAAAAATAGTGAAAACACGCGGCCTTCTTAAACTAAAAAGAACTTTAAAAAATAACATAATTGCTTTAAAATTTAAATATAAGTATTTGTATATAAGGTATACATTCAATATCTGGATGTGGCCATTTTGTTGTGCACAATTACAACGTAATTATATAGTATTTAAATTTGCTTTCTTTTTCTCTATGTTTGTATTTCTGTGTGTTTTTTTTCTCTTCGCCAATTGCGCTTCTTCGCTGTTCTAATCGAATAAATTATGCTATGCTAAAAGTGGGCTACAAGGTTTCTCTTCACTTAGCACTTAATAATATGTATGTGTTTTTCTCTCTTTTGTTTATAAATTTTATTATAAATTGTAGGTATAAACTTTTTGCTAAACGAAGATCAACTATAAGTATAAACATAAAATGTATTCTCTTTCATACAGTTAATTTTACAAAAAAAAAAAATATATAGTATTATTTTATTTAGTAATAAAAAATAATAATAATTTTAATAATAACCTATCAAAATAATTGATTTTTGTAAGACGTAGGTATATATATTAACATACAAAAATTATGTTCTCCGGCGGCGCTGACACACACACGTATGCTCACATACGCATACACCCACATACATCACTCATGCATAGGTACGCCTGTGTGCGCGTACGTCTGCGTTTAGTAGTGTGTGCATGTTCGCTTTATTTATTTATTAACTTCTTTCTCTTATGTGTGTGTGTTTGTATGTTTGTATTATCGTGGTTGAGTACAGTTGGCGAGCACTTGTGACTACATTGCTGGCAAGTTAAACTTCAGCGTAGAGCACAACACTCCTATAGGCATTAGAAAAAATAATATATATAAATATATACTGTGTGTGCAACCAAAACAAAAGCTACCGAAAAATTTCACATCGATTATGTGTGTGCATACACAGCATTCTCTTGTATTCCTCCTTTTGTTTCTGTATATACATTCATTTGCATAAGTCGATAAGAAGGTTTGCCACCCCATAAAGTTTGTTCCATGTTCCGACGACTTTTAACAAACACTGATTAGTTGCCTCTGTGTGGGTGGGTATGTGCGTGTGAGTGTATGATCGGTACATTTAGGTTGGTCATCGCTCAAATATTTTTTCCTGTTGCGCTGTGTGCATGAGTTTATCGGTTTGTGTAGTTTTTAAATATTGTTGGTTTGGTTGTGTTAAAAACAATTGTTTAAAAACGATAATTCTCATCGGCCATATGTATGGCCCAGAGAAATTTGGTTCTATGCGTTTTATTAAAGATTTTCTCAATCGGCACGCCATACTTTTTACACCTAAACGATAAAAAGAGATCAATGCATTAGCTTGCAATCTTCGAAAATAACAAATAGCTAGTGGATTTACCAGGCAACTGTGATGCGTGGATCGAGATAATTTAGTTTGGATGTGCCCAAGGCAATGGTCTTATTCTCGTCTCTATCAGTCTCTTGTAGTTCCAATTTTTTCAGTTGATCCTTCAAACGTTCCATTTGTTTGCCCTTCTTATCGGCAATAACCTTCTCTTTAACGGAACCACGCTTGGCCGCCTTTTTCAGATCCTATTTGAAGATGACATTCCCCAGTAATGTTAAGTGTGATCTCCAGTGGGCAATTAATTTGTTCTTCACTTACATGATATTCGGCCTCGCATTCATCAATGGCATCGCGCTTGGCGCGTATTTTCTCCTTTAGGTTCTCCATTGACTTCTGATGTCCTTTGGGCACGGACCGCTGATGGTTACAGAGGATGGCCACCGCACGATTAGCACGATTGTAGGCCAACAACTTTTCGGCAACCGAAGCGTCCGCATCAGTCAGCAGATCCAATTGGTTTTGCAGCGTTTTCGATGCGTTATATGTACGAAATACTTTAGCCGTGAGACCTGTTAATGGAATTAAAAAATAAAATAAATAGTATACTAGCCTGAGCAATAGTTATATAAGTTATATGTTAACTACCTTCCATTAACTCTTTGAGATGCTCATTTAGCACTTGGGTATTGAGGCGATCGAAAAGATCATCGCCGTCCTTTTTGTTTTCCATGAACAGTTCGAGATTTTTGAAGACGCGCTTTTCCACCTCGACCTCGTTGTAATAACGTATGGAATCCTTACCAGGAAAATCAAATACGACAACATTCTCTTTACCATTAAGCTCCCTGTGCAACTGCACATGCTCCACACGCAGCGAACAGCAGCCAACGGTATCGGCTTGATCCTCATCTTTTTCATTCCCCGCTCTCAGTGCGAGCTTATCAATAAAATACAGAGCAACGGCACGCTGGCGGACACGCATCTCCTTCGACTTCCATTCGTCGCGATAGGTGGCGCGTATTTTGTCAATAAATTTATCCAGCCGGCGGGCTGTCTCATATTTAATATGATCCTTTTCGCCCTTTAGCTTGGACGATGGATTCAGCATAATGTATTTCACCTGACCCTGAACATTCTCCGTCCAGGATGCTAACCAAGTAACGGTATTATCATGACGCACTTCCTTCCAGCGTTCGCCTTGCGGTGGTCGTGGCACCTTTGATTGTTTGCCACAATTGATGGACACATCGGCGGCCGCAATTCTACGCTTAATCATTCCCATCTTTGGATGCTCACCGCGACCGCGAAACAGACCTGGCGGCTCCAAACGAAAGTTGCCGATCTTTTCTTTGTGACCATCTATCATACAGAAACCATATTCCTTGATTAGAGCCTCGTTCTCAAGCTTTTTCGCTTGCTTCTCTTCTTTTGTGGCTGCTTTACGTTTTTCGGATTCAGCCTGAAAGAAGTCATGCATTTCTTTGAAATTGCATTTGCGAAAATCTTTAATGATATCCTTCTCCTTGGGGGTCATTGTCTTGCGGAAATCCTTAAAGAAATTGTTGTTGAATACGTCCTTGGTGCAATAATCGTGATTTAACATCTTTGCATAGAATGTAGCCGCCTCCTCGGTCTCTTCACTCAACTCCAGTGGCTTGCCATCATAAAAGAAACGCACATTGCGGGGCACACGCTCATAGGGTGGTGCAAATACAGGTCCCTTATGCTCGAGAGTTGACCATTTGACTCCATCCTCACGTTTCTCCTCTTCCCACCTTAAAATAGTACAAGCACGTTTTGTTTTAGTTTTCTTGATGTGGCTGTTATTACTATGGTTGTTGTTGCTATTGTTGTTGCTGGAATTTTTTTTAATAGTAGCAACAATAGTTGCGTATCGTTGCTGTTTGAATATAACGTAAAATTCACGTTTTGCCGCGAGCATCGACAGCGACAGCAAAGTTGTTGCAATTTGCGCGCACATAACGCATTAAATAAAAAAAAAAATATGCAACGAGTATCAGACATAACCGCAAATTAGTATTTGGCTTCACAGCTGTTGCACGCGTTTCGCTGCGAATGGTTAAAAAAGTTTACACACTCATCGCAGCAGTCGTGTCACTGCCAAATGTGACTTTCAAAAAATATAGGTCAGTGACATTCAAAAATTACAAATACACACCCGCACACACAACCGCATAAATGTTAATATAACTAAGCTAACGAATTTTTAAATCCAAAAGTTGATTACCTAATACACTTTCGTTCACAAATTTGGAATTTGTGAACATTTTAGAGCTATGAATATTTTTATAAAAGATTGCCTATCTATTTCGCAAGTGTAGTTGTTAATTCTGATACTATGATTAATAAAGAGTTATTTACCATCTCCACACTTCCTCCTCTTCGTCCTTTTTGTCTTTGCGCGAACGCTTCGTTGGGGAAACGTTTTCATGCTTGATTTCATTCTCCTGCAAAACATTTAAAACGTTTATTGAACCATTTCCAGTATATTTTATATTGTTTTTTCTTCCTTGTTTACCTTTTTGACCTTTTTCTTTTTGGGTTTCGCGCTGCCGTATTCGTCATCCATCTCTACCTTGGGGCGTTTCTTTTTGTTTTTCTTGTCCTTTGATTCTTTTTTCATCTTTTTGCGCGCAAGCAACGGAATGTTATCGTCGTCATCGTCTCCATTTCCGTCCATTTCATCGGAGGGCTCTTGTTTGCGCTTACGCATGGCCAATGGCATATCTTCTTCCTCGTCCTCGCCTTCGTTATTAATATTCATATTGTTATCGTTATATTTGTCATTGTCATTGTCATTGTCATTATCATCATCGTCGTCGTCGTCATCATCATCATCATCGTTTAACGCGCTATCATCCTCTGCATAGGTGGCCTCCTCTTTAGCCACAAACGCTGGTTCATCCGCTCTGAACTGCGACATCGAGTAGTCACAGGAGCTAGCCTGCGATAAATCAAAGTTCTCCTCCTCCTTTTTAACATCGACAATGTGCTCTTCGTAGCCATTTTTATACCCATTGCATTCGGATTGCATTTGCTGCTGTTGTTGTTGCTGGAGTTGCTGGAGATGCTGCTGCTGCTGCATTTGGAGCTGCTGATGCTGTTCCTGGAGCTGCTGCTGCTGCTGCAGTTGGAATTGCTGCTGCTGCATTTGGAGAAGCTGCTGCTGTTGCAACTGCAACTGCAAGGGATCAGTATGGTCATTCGTGTGTGGCTGTGAGACGGGCTCTGGCTTAACGAATACACCATCATAGGAGGGATCTTTCGATGATGAGCCATGTCTAGAACTGGAATGTTTGCTTTTCGATGATGATGAAGACGATGAGCTCTTGTGACGTGAACTCGAAGACGATGATGACGAAGACTTGTGTTTATCCCGACTGGAGGAGTTGCTGCTGCTGCGATCCTTGTCGCGACGCTCTTTGTCCTTGGAGGACGAGCCGCTACTACTGCTGCTGCCACTCTTATGATGATGGCTAGACGAAGACTTATGCTTGCCGTTCTTATCGCGATGGCTGGACGATGACGACGAAGAGCTTCGATTTGAGTTACTGCTATCCCGTTCCTTATCCCTATGCTTGTCCTTGCCACTTGAAGAGCTGCTGCTACTGCTTTTATGTTTATCCTTATCGCTGTAAACATGGTATATTAAAACTTCAGTAAATCAATGAATAGATAAAAATTGTATTCGACGCTTACCGACTACTGCTGCTGCTGCTTCCGCTTTTATGTTCCCTAGATGAAGAGCTTGAACTCTTATGCTCGCTGCTGCGTTCCTTATCACGATGCTTATCCTTGCTGGATGATTTATGTTTATTGCTGCTGCTGCTGCTCTGATGATGGTGGTGATGGTGTCCATTTGTGGTTACACCATTCGATTGCACTTCGCAGCTGCCGCCATTTTGCACGTGTACATTCTGTAAGACATATCAAAGGAGAGAAATGATATGAAATGAAACAAACAAACACAATGAACAATAAAGTTTCGGATTGGAATACAGACAGCTGAGCTACAATCCATTTTAGTTATTCACTAACAAATTTTGAAATTATACATGGAAATACATTTAACAATATTTTCGAGCCCATTCGCAGTTATGCTATGCTATGCATAGACACACACAACGGTGTAAATAAAATGTCTGGTTTTAACTTTAATAGAAAAAGAAAAGCATTGGCTACCTGTGCGATCGAATGTGGGCATATGTAGAAGTGTGTGTGGCTGTGTTTGTGTGTGACACATTTAAGTAGCAACTCTGCAAGTCAATTGTCAATGATTTACAAAACTCTATAGATGTGCACGCGTGTGTGGGTTTATATGTAAGTGGAGATGGACACACCACACCATGCCACACCACCACGTGGTGAAAAATCAACCCTAACAAATTCAAATATATTATGAGAAAAAAATTAAAAAGGCAAGATATACCAACGGAAGTTGGCAGGATTCACACGTGAGGGCAGTGAATGTTCAGACCATATAGAAGATGATACCGTTACTGATGTTTCTGACGTTTACTGCTCATACTTTCAGGCAAGCATTATTTTTAACGTAAGGTGTAACAGCAACAGCAGATCAAGGCTGTTTCTTTTGTACATGTATATATGTATGTACACACATGTGATTACTTCGGCACCCTGCGCAGTGTGACCAAATTTATACAAGCCTCAAAATACTACAGCAGAATTGAACAACTGCATTTCATTTGAATTTCTTTTCAAAAACCAAAGCGGCAAATAGGTATCTTCAAATTTTATATTTCTATTAAGTCCTACGAACAACATAGATACATATGGGTTAGCAAAAATTCTGTGTGTAAGTGCAGAAAACGCCAATTTAATAAAAAATTGTAAAAATAAAAAATAAAACAATACACTTTAGAAAATAACAATTATTGTGCACGTAAAATACCACACTAGTATTTAGAGCAGCGAAAATCGGTCACACTGTGCCAAATACACATTGTCGTTGTGTCGTTGCCGTCTCTCGTCGTTTTCCTACTGCCTGCCTGCCTCTGCCTGCTACTACTTGCATGCATTGTCGCCATTTTCGTAAATTACCAAAAGGCCTTTTACTCTTTATTGCAATGCGACTACGCATGATTTAGGCGCAGGTCGGTCGAAACTTGCACTGGTTGCAAGTGCTTATGCATTTTTTTTGCACATGAAAATTAACAACACATTTGCCCCTTTCTTTAATGCACTCGCCGAGCAGATGAAAATTACATAAAAATAAATACGTCTCAAAATTACTTACATTTTCAGCAGCCACATCCCCACTCATTTTGCACAATTTCTCAGTTGGCAGTCCGGCGCTCACGGCTTTTTTCCCAACTTCACTTTTTTTTATTATTTTCTACACTTGTATATATTGTAGTTAATATGTATTTATCAGTTGTTAAAAGCCGATACACACGATTGCAACAACTTTTTGTGCCTTTGCATTTACTGCGCGATACTACAAAATCATATATTTTTTTGCTAAGTCCCCAAATATTACACTTAGAAGAGTCTCTTTCTTTTACAGCGCGCAGCGGCCACGCGAACACGTTCGTACCGAATCTACTTCGAACTGTATGCTGTTTAGAGATGTGCACATTGCACGCTATTAATTTTCGATAGTTTTCGAACACTGAATATCGATAACTAATAGCTGACGCGTTATTTCAGTATTTTTAGTTTTCTTGCAAACGTTTTTTGGGTGCACACTGCTGGAAATTCACAAATTAATATACATTAGCATTTTTTTGGAATCTGGAAAAATAATAAAGTAATAAGTTGGAACTGAAATGGCCAGTCGTGGTGCAACTAGTGTAATCACCGCCACGACTGGCGTCATCCATACCACCATAACGTCAACGTCAACAGTAACGGCAACAGCATTGCAAACAATCACCAATGTACTTACCGTCAGCTCAGTGCACTCGAACAACGTGAACATCTCAAATAATACGCACAGCGGAAACGCAGCTGCTGTTAGCACTGGAAATGATGGAACAGATGGCGACGCAGCCAAGCCCATGTATCCCCGTCTTTTTAACAAAATTGTGCTAACATTGGAGAACAGCTTGATACCGGAGGAGAAAATTGATGCGACCCCATCCAGTCAGGATGGACTCGATCATGAAACGGAAAAGGATTTGCGCATTCTTGGCTGTGAGCTAATACAAACTGCGGGCATACTGCTTCGTTTGCCACAGGTGGCCATGGCCACTGGCCAGGTGCTCTTTCAGCGCTTTTTCTATTCGAAGAGCTTTGTCCGTCACAACATGGAAACCGTGGCCATGAGCTGTGTCTGCCTTGCCTCCAAAATTGAAGAGGCGCCGCGTCGCATACGTGATGTCATCAACGTCTTCCATCACATCAAGCAAGTGCGCGCTCAAAAGTAAGTCATACAGAGCAACCTACATTCGGTATTTAACATCTATTCTGGTTTTATTTTTCATTTCATTTCATTTTTTCTTTCGCAGAGAAATTGCGCCCATGGTGCTGGATCAGTACTATACGAATCTGAAGACACAAGTGATCAAGGCGGAGCGCCGAGTGCTAAAAGAATTGGGCTTCTGTGTGCATGTTAAGCATCCGCATAAGCTGATTGTAATGTATCTGCAAGTGTTGCAGTATGAAAAGCATGAGAAGCTGATGCAAATGTCATGGAATTTTATGAACGATTCGTTGCGCACGGATGTCTTCATGCGCTATACGCCGGAGGCAATTGCCTGTGCATGCATATATTTGAGTGCACGCAAGCTGAATATACCGCTGCCGCATAGTCCGCCGTGGTTTGGTATCTTTCGTGTGCCTATGGCCAATATTACGGATATTTGTTATCGAGTGATGGAGCTTTATACACGAGCCAAGCCAATTGTGGAGAAGCTGGACGCAGCTGTCGAGGAACTAAAGAAGCGTTATATCGATGCCCGCAATAAGACTAAGGAGGCAAATACGCCCCCAGCGGTCATCACGGTGGATCGCAACAATGGCTCGCACAATGCCTGGGGAGGATTTATACAGCGTGCCGTACCGCTGCCTACTGAGAAGTCTCCGAAGAAAGACTCCCGATCACATTCGCGATCACGCACACGCACGCAATCACGCACGCCACGTTCACGGTCGCGCAGCCATTCGCCAAGTCGTGAGCGTTCCAAGAAGTCGCATCGAGATCGCGATCGTGATCGTGAACGCGATAGGGATCGAGAGCGTGATCGCGACCGGGAACGTGATCGCGATCGAGATAGAAGTCGGTCGTCCAGATCACGTTCACGATCGTTGCCTAAGCACAAAAAGAAATCGCGCCACTATTCGCGCTCGCCTACGCGATCCAGCTCGCCGCACAGCAAGCATCGCAAGAGGTAAGGCTGCTTCAGCTTTAACAGCTCTTGTTTGCATTTAACGTGTCTTATACTATTTTACAGGAAATCGTCAAGAGAACGATCCGATTATTATATAAAAAAGGAGCGGTCCAGCAATCCGGGCAATAATGTAAGCGATAGCGATAAGTATCGTAACTCGAGCTCCAATTCCGGCAAGTCGCACAGTCGCTACTCACACCGTAGCAGCGGAGGTGGTGGAGGAGGCACCGGAACCGGTGGTGTCGGCGGCGCCGGCGTTGGCAGTGGTGGAGGAGGTAGCGCAGCTGGTAGCGGGCACAATAGCCGCGGCGGACACAAGCATCGCGATAACGATCGTTCCAGAGACCGCAAACGTTGATAAAAACAACATTTTATGCTAATTGAAACAGAAAATGTTTTTTTTTACATTTTATATTTTACATTTCTATTTATTTTGATTGAATGAGAATTATAATTTTGAAGTTCACTGTAAAAAACGAAAAGTAAAATTGATAACTAATAAATGTAAACTAATTGTATATGTGTATAATGCATTTTATATTGTTTGATCGCTGAGAAAGAAATAGAAAAAAACGCTATTTCGCCTGTAATACTAGTATTATATCACAATGAGGCGCATTACAAAAGAGATATATATAAATTTCAGCAACTTTGCTAGCAAAAGTTGGAAACAAAAATAATTAACAAACAATTTCAATTGATTCGAATTCTGCCGAGTGCTGTTTGAATGCCAGTTTCAACTCGTGTGCAGATTTATTAAAAATTCTTTTCCATTTAGCTGATCCAGTCGAACAAAAAATACATGATCTATCTGCATGTATGTTCATATATATTCCATTAGGGGCAGCTGATAATGATTAAAATCCTAGACTACATATTGGTACTTAGGCAATAGATGATAGCAGCTTGCATATCCTGTGTAGATCATATCCTTTGTTGTCAAAGGTACATCTATAGCTGTGACCCGCTGTCGAATCATTAGATATTTGCATAGACAATATCGGAATAGATTAAAATGAATAGATCATCTATACGACCATAGTGGAAGAGACCAACGAAATTTGCGGATGCTGTAGCGAAACATCTCTAAACTCAGGCGTAAAGCTAAGTATGAAAAATGAAAATATGGTGGCAATAATCCATTCCGATATAGTGCTAATCACATGATAGTACCAGCCACCATCCGAGGGATACCTGAAATGCCAATCAATTGTTTAATTGTATGGCCTGGACCGATCAAAATTGAGACTTACCACTTCCTCGGATTCTGTCCATCGAACAGGATATGGGACATGAGGCCAGTCACAGCGAGCACAATGAAAAGGATCGTACAGCAGACGGACATGCCCAGACGTAAGTGGGCCGTTTTCCTTGTGCCGGCCATGGGATAAACGATGTACGTGATCAATGCCTGCATCCAGAAATATAAAGTACCGCAGCCAAAGCAACAGAAGGCGCCAATGAAGTGCACAATCCGTACATTTGTCTCCTGAAAGTTACCCACAAAACTTATTCCCAGACAGGACAGCATGCCAAACCACAAAGCAAGACGATTGTGGCGCAGTAGAGCGGCGTCCAATTCCGGATGATGCTCGCTCAATTGCATTATATGGCGATATCGAACATAGATGGTAAGTCCCACTTAAAATGATAAACGATCATTAGAGGAATACAGAGAGAGAGAGAGAGAGAGAGAGAGATAAGGAGGGAGTGAGCTCGAATTAGAGTGGGGGAATAAATAAATCAGAACTCCATGACTCATTTCGTTGCACTCGAGATACGAATCGTTATTAAATCTGTCGTAACTCACATAGAACACTGCCAATGTTTATTAATTGCCCAAAAATACAACTCTCCGGTGAATAAGTGGCTGCATCGCTTATGTAGGGCACTGTGGGCACTACATGCCCCTCTAATACGGCCAAAATATATCTGCAAATGCGCCAAATACGAACAATAACATAAGGGTATTTTTTCAATAAGGAAGACAGGATGAAATGACTTACGTGCCTAGAAAAGTCACTTGAAAAATGAGAAACGAAGCAACTGGCAATAGGTAAACATTTGACATAATGCCAGTAGCTATGCAGCAAATATTTAATTAAATTCAATATTTTTATTGCGCAGAACGAATTTCGCATGCAACGGGAGTGCAGCGCTGCCAACTTGATCGGATAAAAGGAAAGCTTACAAAATATGTGCAACGACAATCGATATAATTCGAAAAGTCCATCACCATCAATTACAAACTAAAGTGACATTTGAAATCAAAATCCAGATAATTAACATATTTATCAAAAGCAAAACATTTGAGAAATTGCTAAAGTCGGTATGTAAACGCTTATATTCAAATCGAAAAAAAAAATTTAATTTGTTGTGCGCTTTCAGGCAGCTGGGTATGAGTTGTTTTGTGGAAATCGACGGTTCCTATTTGGAAGGTGGCGGACAGGCTCTACGCAATGCATTAGCATTAAGTGTTATACTAAATCGTCCGGTGCGTGTGGTCAAAATACGTGCCAATCGCCCGAAACCGGGTCTTTCACACCAGCATCTGCATGGCGTCAATTTGTTGCGGGACATCTCTAATGCCGAAGTGAATGGCAATACGTTGCACTCCACCGAGTTGACATTCACCCCACGCACCATTGCCGGCTCCATGTACAAGGTAGACACACGAACCGCAGCGAGTATAACGCTCATTTATCAGATGGTCATGCCGGTGCTGTTGTTCAGTGGCACCACGTCTCGGATCGATGTCATTGGCGGCACAAATGTCTCGTTTTCCCCGCAGGCGGAATACATGCAGCAAGTGCTTATGCCCAATTTGAAGCGTTTCGGCGTTAGTTTCGATATGAAGGTCCTTCATCACGGCTTTTACCCACGTGGCAATGGTCGCTGCGTGCTCGAGGTGGAGCCGTTGCGGACCCTGAATGCAGTGCAATTAAATGACTTTGGCCAGTTTCTGTCGGTAAAAGGTTCTGCCTACTATGCCGGCCGGCTACCCAAATGCATTGCCTTCGATATGCAGCATTCGGCAGAACGTGAAATACATCGCTTGTGGCCGGATCATGAATGCAATATACAGGTGTTCAAGCATCCACCAGACAGAGCCCGCGATAATGGTGCAGGTATCATATTGACAGCATTGACCAGCACTGGTTGCATGATGGGTGCAGCCACAGTGGGTGAGAAAAATATCGATGGGCACATGATTGGATCGAATGCCTCCTGCGAATTGGCAGGCTACATTAAGAATGAGATTTGTGTGGATGCTCATATGCAGGATCAGCTCATCATCTATATGGCATTGGCCACTGGTTGCTCACGTGTTCGGGCTGGAGCATTAACCAAGCACACACGAACTGCCATCTATGTGGCCGAGCAAATGGCTGGGGTCAACTTCATAATTGAATATGGAAATTTTGGGCAGACGCTCATCAGCTGTGAGGGCATTGGGCAATGCAATGCATATATATAAAACATACACACGTACACACGCAGACACACTCACACACATACACATGCATACAGATAAACTATTGTCTGTTACATACTTAAATTATTTATGTTAAAATATAAATATATATATGTGTATATATTTGTCAAATTAGATGCGACGGAATATAGCTAAGAAATGATCACCCTTATTGCGTACAACCTTGGCACCCTCCTCACTGCTCTGATAGAGCTTGGGCGTTATAGGGTCATCATTCTAGAAATATACGTCCGTTAATGGCACTTTCATCAAGTTATATTCAAAGACAACTTACTGCTTCCTCGTCACTAAGTCGTTCAAACAATGGATGCTGCATCATATGTGACACTATCCATTTGTGCAGATCCTCCACATCCGTCATTGTATAAACCAGACCCTAAATATAATGTAGCTCAGTTAGAGATGCGAGATCATCGAGGTAATGTTAATTGCTTACCCCGCTGCTTAGCACATAAGCATATTCGGAGAGAAGGGCCTGGTTAATTATGCGCCACTTGTGCTTGGCGCGCTTGAAATGCGGATCGGGATAGAGGAAGAACATCTTCTCAAGTTGACTTTTTTGAAAATAATTGGGCAAATACTTCATCGCATTGGTGCGTATGCAGGCAATGTTTTGGTAGTTAGTCGCTGCATTAGCGTTTTTCAACCTAAGCGCTGCAATGCGATCGACCACATAGTCAGAGACCTTCACTCGTATCTCCATGCCAATGGCCAACTTTTCGGGATACATTTCGCCGAGGGTCACAAGGAATCCGCCGTAGCCGCAGCCAATATCGGCAAATTTCACTTGTTGATCGTTGCCAATATTCGGATACAGTGAGCGCCAGTCCACATCCTCTGGCCGGGCAGGACTGTAACATATGATAAAATTTAGTTGAGTTCCACATCCAAACAAATATCACAAGTGAAATGTTTACTAATCAAAGCTGTGATCTGCTATGGGATTTGAGTGTGCTCGCTGACGGTAGAAACGCTTCTGTGGCAGTCCAGTTACCGCTGACGTCGCGGGCAGTGCTTCACTCTCCTGATTGTTGGCCACCATTTAGTAAGTATATTATATTATTTATGAAATATTGTACATCAACAATTGGCTCATACAGCAAATGTGCTCAGCACATGCATGCCAATCGGTACTATTCAAATCGGTACTATTCGATAATTTTTTAAAAATTAAGTTGACAGGTTTGAACATGAGCTGCCATTGTGACCTTATCGATTGTTTTGCAGCACCAGTGGCCATCCCTAGCGCATTGTGTATGCATTACGCATTTGCGAAATTTACCAGCAATAAGTTTTTAAAAATCAAATTTTAATACAATTGGAATAGAGGTTCTTGTGTTTATACCATTACCGATTACAGCCGGCAAACACGCCACACCTGAGCTAACGTGGCCATGTACGCCACTAACAATGGCAGCGTAAATAAGGCGCCAAATAGGTGAGTCTCGGATACCCGTGTGTCTGTACAGTGTGTACAATTTTATAGTGTGTTTCGTTTTTTCTTATGTGTGATTTATTGTGTTTTCTGCGTGTGCGCTTTTTTTTGTAGCAATGCCACAACTATGTTTGACAACACCATTACTGTCACACCGATCAAAGTGGAACTAAATGACACTTTGACCAAGTCAGCGGCCACAACAACAACGCCGGCCCTTCGGCGACCCAACGCTGTAATTGTCACGTCACAGCAGTTGACAATGCCCATGCAAACGGGCTTGTCCGTAACGAATAGCAGCGGTGGCGGAGTGAACGCATCCTATGCGACAGGCATTAGCGTAACATCGACGACTGCGACGACAGCGCCAGCGACGAAAGAGAAACCGACCAAAGCGACGCGCACTCAAATTGTACGCAAACCTCCACCAACAATTGACAATTTTTGGCCAAATATCTTGACTGAGGTAAATGGAATTGGCCAGGTGGATGCTAAACATCAGGTGCTGCCGTTGGCGCGCATCAAGAAGATCATGAAACTGGATGAGAATGCCAAAATGATAGCGGGCGAGGCGCCGTTGCTGTTTGCCAAGGCCTGCGAATATTTCATACAGGAGCTAACAATGCGCGCCTGGGTTCACACAGAGGAGAGTCGTCGACGTACGCTGCAGCGCTCGGACATTGCGCAGGCAATTGCCAATTATGATCAATTTGATTTCCTAATCGATATTGTGCCGAGAGAGGAGATCAAACCGTCAACCACACAGAAAACCAAAGAGCCAATCAGCTCGAATGTATCAACGGCGGCGACAGCAGCAGCTGCAGCGGCTGCTGCTGTGGCAGCAACCGCATCTGTTGTTAGCAACAACAATATCAATGCTAGCTTTACAACCAGCAACGTTGTGGGTAGCGCCAATGTACCTGCTGCTGCTGCGGCAGCTGCTGCTGCCGCTGGTCTCAAATTAGATGCCAGCACAGCTGAAGTTCTTGGCTTTAGCACTGTGAGTCCGGATCTGTTTGCGGCAGCAGCGGCGGCGGCCAATAGCAATCAACAGCTACAGCAGCTGACAGCGCAACAGCACCACCAGCATCAGCCGCAGCAGGTGCAGATCATACAGCAGGGTGCTGGTGCACAGCAGTTGCAATACTTTATAGCGTTGCCTGGACAGCAGCCGGCGCAGCTAGTGCAACAACTCCAACAGCAACAGCATCAGCAGCAGCACCAACAGCACCATCAAAACAGTCTCGGCCTAAATATTGTTGCACAACAGCCGACACAACAGCTAATACTCACAGCCGGACCCAATGGACAGTTAACGGCGACGCCGGCGCCAACAACTGCGGTACAGCAGCAAACGGCGCTGCTGCAGAATCTGGCACAACAGCAGCAACAACATCAGCAGCAGCAACAACAACAGCAGCAAATACAACTGTTACAGCAGGTGGTATCGCCCACAGGCGAGCTGACCAATGTACCGGTAAGTATTTTGAGAAAACTCTCAATTGATTGATCAATAGCTAAAAGTTTGCTTATTAGATCGCCATAAATGCCAATCAGCTGCAATTGCTACGACTTCAGATGCAACAACAGCAGCAGCAGCAGCAACAGCAGCAGGTTGCTGCTGTACAAGCAGCGGCAGCGGCGGCGGCAGCTGCACAGCAACAGCAGCAACAGCAGCACAATCAACAGCAGCAGGTGATAATACCCACTCAGTTGCTGACGGCACAGCAGATATTGCAGCTGGGTGGGACGCCTACAAATGCAACAGCTATAACACAGCAGCAGCTGCAACACCAACAGCAGCAGCAACAGCAACATCATCACCAGCAGCAGCAACAGCTACACATAAGTAGCAGCAATCCGAACGGCAGCGGCAACAACAATACAAGCAACAGCAACAATAACAACAACAACAGCGGCAATAGCAATAACAACAACAGCGCAGCATCAATATTCATTAATACGACGGCGTCGAACGCCCAAATCGCAACGCAGGCGCAAACGCAAGGTCTTAACGCGTTAACCAACGATCGGACACTTAGCAGCGGCTTTCGGTAAAACCCAACAAGCTAGACAGAGAGAGATAGAGAAAGATAGAGAAAGCACAAGCCCAAAACAAACGAAAACATGAAAACAAACACAACGGCAACAGACAACAGACAACAGACAACATATAAGAGCAACCACCTTATTAATAAGCCTAATTTAATAATTTAGTTTAGGTTGAAACATGTTTAGCATTGAATTGAAGTCGATGGATTTTTCGACATTTAGCAATCATATCGAAGCATCGGGAGGCAAGTCTGTTTATAGAATATTGGGCTAGAATGTCAATTGCGCCTCATTCAGCTATTCAACAATTCAGTTTCGTACTAATGTGTATACTTATGTATAGAGGAGTGTTTGATTAGCTAGCCGCTAAGTAACTTTGTAATTAATTAAGCGATTGTATAAATACCACATAAATGGGTCATGAGATGAGAGGAGATGTCATAACATTTTTTTAGAATTACGTAATGTATTTTAGTCTTTAGGCAGCAAAGTGAAGCCAAAAAACAACAACAACAACAACAATAACAACAACAAAAATAATAATAACCAGCTAGGCAGTAGGGCCAAGGCCAGGGAAATGGCTATCTATATTTAAAAAAATGTAAATTAAAATTGGAATTGGTGTTCAGCTTAATGTACATATCATAATGAGTTTCATAACTGCTATATCCGATCCGATACATAGTTACAATTTCATGTTGCCAATTGTATTCTTAAGTTTCAACTAGTGTATGCGATTGTGTCGAGTGCGTGACTGTGTGCGTGCGTGCGTGTGTGTGTGTGTGTGAATGCATTTATAAATTATGAATATTAAAAAATAGTTGACAAATTTGAAAATGGCATCGGCTCAATCGGCATTCCCCTGGCTTTGTAACTGATATGAAAACAGGACGCTGAGCTGCAGGTTTCACATTCTATTTTAACAATACGTAACAATAGAAAACACACACCCCAACAACCCCCTCAACGTATACATAGATATATATATATATATATATATATATATATGATATATTGTATTTGTATAGTTAAATATTTGTATTTAATGAAAGTAAATTTGCAAAACACAACTCAATTGAAAGCATCAACAAATTTGTCTCTAATTCACTTGTCGTGCTTATATGATTGGAATTTTTTGGCTCAATTCTTTCTGGCCAATATTTTGTTAATGTCCTGCAACTCGCGCGTGCTCCACGGCTCTAGGGGATCCGGCGGCGATTGAGCTTTGCGCACAACAGCTGCCGAGCGACCACGACTGTGTTTGCTCTCCACTTCCGCATCGCTCTCCTCCGGAGATACTCTGTGGATGATAGTTTCTGTATTAGATGTGTACAGTAGGCACACGTTTTACGCAACCCACTTATTGCGGCGACGAATCCGTGCGCTTTTGGCTCGACGCGCTGCCTCGTCCTGGCTGGGCTGGCATTTGCGCAGATGGAATTGCTTCATTGTGGCATGCACTTCATCGGCTGTGGGCAGATCATCGCTATCGACTTCACCGTTCCCATCCTCGGTTTCCACCTCCGCCTCCTGTTCGATGGTCAGCACCTCCTCGGCCACTGCCTCATCAAAGTTGAAGTCCTGCAATGGCACAACAATTGGTAGCAGCTGTGCTCCAGAATGGGATCAACTTACCGGCAACGTCTCCAGCTGTGGCATTTGTTGATTCCACACCGAGGACATGGAAGACTTGCCGTTGTGGTTGGGCGAGCGTTTAATGTCCGCCTTCGAGAGGGCGTTGTGGGTGCGCTTGGCCAGCGATAGCTTACCGAGAATGGGTCCCCCACTGTCGCTCTCCTCGGTCTCTACCTCGGCGAGCATGTTCATGAACTCCTCCAACTTCTTGGGGTCCACAATGTCCTTGGGATCCTGGAACAAATTGCTCAAATTGCTAGCCATGGGCGCGGCTGCAGGCGTGGGCAGAGCGGCCTTCAATGGAGGTGCCGCTGCAGCGCTGGTTACTACTGGAGCAACAGTTGCTGGCACGGATATCTTTCTGGTTAGCTGCGGCTGCGTCTTGAGCGTCTGCTCAACCAAATCGAATGCCTTGTTGGCCAGCTGCTGCAATCCGGCAAAGTAGTGCGGATCGTGTGTATCCGGTCGCTGATCCGACATGAGGATCAGCTCACGAAATGGATCCGGCACGGGTGCAGCCGCTGCCGCTGTTGCTGCTGCTGCTGCAGTTGTTGCTGCTGTTGAGCTGCGCAATGGAACTCCATTGCTGGCAGCCGGATTGTTGGCGAAGGTCAACATGTCCATGGCATTGGTGAAATCGGATTCGTTGTGCAGATTGTACGGATCCTTGAGCTTCTGTTTGGTCACCTTGACGGGACTCGATATGGAGGCGCGGCCCCACATCAATCGTCGCATCTCCTCGCCAGTCATGCCACGCTTCTTCAGTGCTGTCAACGTGACCCGTCCCACGCGCTGCAATCGCAAACGATTTGAAGCTAGAGCAGATTGGGCTATGGTATTGGCTCACCTTCCAGTTGGAGACAGCGCCCTTGCGCTGCTTGGCACGGGTTTTGCTCTTGCTCTTGATAACCATAACGCCGCGCACCTCGAAGCCCGTATCGTCGGCTGGACCGAGCGGTATGGAGTAGGCCTCCAGATAGCCTTTGGCATCCGACTGCGGCACAGCTCGCTCCAAGGTGACCACAATTTTGGCCCATTGCTTCATCCACTCCTTCTCCGACTGCTCAATGACCGTCACGTACGTATTGCCCATCATGGCGATCAACATGTTAAGCAACAGGATCGGCACGAATATCATGAAGATGACAAAAACCGTTTTCGACAGGTTCGGATAGGTCGTCTGGTTCAGATCGGGATACTGTTCATATAGATGAGATATTAGACATGCGAGAGTCTAACTCTAGCTTATATATACAGATACATATACATATAATATTTTATGTCAGCTGTTTTTCTATAGCTAATACCTAGACGTAGTCCAATTCGAAATTGTTCAAGATTTTCGAAATGTTTAGCTTTGGGCGTAGTCTTATTCATGAAGCAATTTCAAATTGTACTCAACTTTGCCCAATTGCGGGACTCCGAAATTAGTCATTTTCAAAATTTTGATAGACTTTGGCTCTGATCTTCGAAAATATTAAATTTTCAGTTACGTAGGATTCTCTACTTTCGTCTAGCTCTCAAAAATCTAAGTCTAAATTCGAATTCAGCTCCGTAGTGTATAAAAATTGATCGAAATTTTTAATGATTTTGAATTAATTTTTTTTTCGAACTTCAAAATATATCAATTTTCGAAATTATATTAGAGTAATATTAGCATTATTTCGAAATGTGAGTCGTTTTCGAAGTTCGAAAATGACTGAATTCGAAATCGAACTATTGACTCTAAGCTTTAACTAAATTAAATGAAAATTCATTTTTCGTATAGTTTCCGATTCGAAATATTTTCGAGCTTTATCAACTGATATTCGATCTGTGGAAAAATCTATCTCGATCAATTTCGACAAAAATTGTAAATTTTCTTCGAGTTTAGCCATTTTCGAACTTGACATAATTTTAAGATAGAAGCGCACATAGAGAACACTCACATTGTAGTCACCGAGCGTGGTTTGGAAGAGGGCCATCCAGGTGCTGGTGTAGGTGTTGAACATGGTCGACTGCACCTGCGGATGTCCCTTGTAGAGGAAGTAAAATGCCTGCGAAAAGCCGCAGAGCACAATCGAATAGATAATGCCAAAGGTGAACATGTCGCCAGTTATCATCGAGTAAATCATGGTCACAAACGGACCCGTCAACCGTATAGCGCTGCCAAAAAAGAAGCTCAAAGTCAAACGATTGAATGCCAAATATTGCATGCAGATTCGACGCTACCCGGCAAAGAACATGAGCAGGAACCAGCTGCCAGGCACGGCGAAGATTAGTATCGCCTCCTCAGTGTCCGTATCGCCGATCAGACGGAACGGAATGCACGCGAGTATCAACAGATTCGAAAACAAAAATATGGCCTTGGCGGGTGCGTGAGACTAGAAGGAAAGCAAGGATCAGTTAGGGCCAGCTGACAGTCATCACAGATCTGGCCGAAAAAAGGCTAGATTGACAGCAGTATTAGAGCAGAGTGTGTGTGTGTGTGTGAGAGATTGCGTATGTGTGACTGAGAGTAAGAGAGTATTAGTGGCTGAGTGAGAGAGAATTTCTATGTGCGAGCGGTAGTGTGTGTGTGTAAGTGTGTGAGTGTGTGAGTGAATGAGTGTCAGTGAGAGGGTGCGAGAGAGATAGATAGAAAGTGAGAGTCAGCATGGCGGAGTGAGAGAGTTTGGATGTGATTCAGCGTCAGATAGAGAGAGATAGTGTTAGGGTGTGTGTGTGTAAGGCAGACGAAGAGTGCGAGTGTAAAAGAAAGAGATAAAATATGAGAGAGAGAGAGAATGTGTTCAACTGAAAGCCAATGAAAATATATGTGTGTAAGAATGAAATGGAGTGGGAGAGGGAGACTAAGAGTGAGAGCGAGTGAGTACCAGCTGCTTGAGAAAAGCGGAAAGACCCTGATTCTTGATCTCGTCACCCTGCTGGAACACCACATAGCTGAGCACCCCAGCTATGGTCGCCAGCTCGGCGCAGTAGCGCGCCACAGTTTGGGCATTGTAGTTATTCTCGTCAATTGCGGCTCCATCGCTTAGCTGTGCCATGGCTGTTGCATCGCCACCATTCTCCTCGTCCTGCTCGTCGCCATCGTGTGCCGGACGCAAATACACGGATACGGACAGGCATAGCAAATGGGTGGATAGAATGAGCAGACGCTTGAGGAACTGATTCTGGGCAAACGTTTTCCATTTCTCTTCCAACAGGCGCTGTATTATGCCGCCATCGAGCATGTCCAGATGCTCCGGCTTGGTGCCGTTCAATATGATGAATAGCGCCGAGTTCCAGTCTGCAAAAGAGCAAAGCATTTAGCTGTCAATCAAATCGATAAGAGACAGTTCAAATTCTTTGTCTACGATTGTCCAAGCTCTTCCGATGGAATTATATGGAATTGTTTCTGTTAGCTGAATGATTGACTCACTGATTGAAGACCGGCGCATGGCTCAAGCCGTGCGATCCAGGCGATCATAGAGAAGATATAAAGAAGCTCTTCTTGCTGGTGAATTGATTGACTAACTGGTTGGCTGACAGACTGATTGATTGGTTGGCTGATTGAAGGCTTGAAAGCCATCGTAAAGCGCACTTCATTTGAGAAAGAATCTGTGATTGTTTGCTATGGGCTAAAGATATTGTGCCGATAGACCGATTGACACATTGATT